CCGCCGCCCTTATTGGGGCCCGCCCTCCTCCTCATCATCCTCCTCATCATCTTCATCTCCCCCTCCTCCTCCTCCTCCTCCTCCTCATAATCATCGTCATATCCTCTTCATCCTCCTCCTCCTCCTCCTCCTCCTCCTCTTCCCCCTCCTCATCCTCCTCCCCCTCCGCACCCCTCATTTCTACCGCGTTGAATTGCCATGCATACGCGTTGCATTTGCATCCCGTTGCTTGCCTGGGGGGCGCGGTGATGTAGTCTGCTCCTCGTGGCCTTCTCGTGGATAGCATTGCGTCGCATTGCGACTGCGCTGAGTTGCCAGGTCACTTGTGCGAGCTCGGGCCCTCTGGTGGGATTATGCCCCTATCCCTCAGCAGGCGGCGCGGCTCAAGCTTCTGGCACGAATTTACCCGCTCGCACGCATATCGTCCACGAATGCCCTCTGCCACGATCGCATGGAATGCGTCCATCAGGTTCAATGGCAGAGTGATGACCATATGTGAGAAGGATATCGTGGACATCGGTGGCACGAAGTGCATGGTTATAGTTCCGTGGAGGGCGCCGCTCATATCGCTGCTCACGGGCGTGCCGCAGACGGTGATATCCGACACTGCCAAAGTCAGGGGCATGAAGGTCAGCATCGCAGGACACGAGCGTTTCAAGAGGCTCGTGAAGGCGAGGAACGCTGCACAATCGACCAGTCTCCTCGGCAACGACATGGTCTCGGAGGAAGGCGTCCAGCGTCTGTTCGGTGACGGGGCTGGCGCCGAAGCAGATCAGCCGCCCGTCGTGTTCCCCAGGCGAAAGCGCAAGCGCGATGGCGAGACTTCCGACGATCCCCCGCCAGGCATGATCACGGCGACGGTGGACGGAGTGCGGATCGAGTGCGTGAGGCCTACGATGTCTCGCGAGAGTCTCTGCGTCCCCCTCGACGAGACGAACATCAGTGCGCTCTTGGGTTACCTTCACCAGGGCATCAACAGCCTCGAGGACATCGCCAGCGCGTACGAGTGGGCGGGCCGTTACCCAGGGCGCTACAAGAAGAAGGAGACGGGCGCGTGCATGGGCCAGGTGGACCACGGTACGCCGACCAAGCCGTGCGAGGGCAAGGACCTCGGTGCGTCTCCGAGCAGCGACATCGGTGCGTCTCCGAGCAGCGGCAGCGGTTCGTCTCCGTGCAGCGGCAGTGGTGCGTCTCCGAGTGGCGGCACAATCCTCGAGCAGCTTCGCCGATGCTCCTCGAGTGGCGCGCCAGTCGGCGCCCCCTCCCAGCAGTGGCGTCTGTCAGCCACACACGGTGCATAGCATAATTGGCAGTGCCCGCGCGGGGTGCGGGCCGCCGATTGGGCGGACGTGCGTCGCGGCGCGTATGCGCGCTGCGGTGTTGGCAGGCGGGTTAGGGGATGCCCGCTGCATAGGCGAGTGTAACTGACGCACACATGGTGTTACGATTGCCTCTTGAAGACAATGGTTGCCCCCTCAGTCCTAGATTGCCTCTGATACCGTATTCGCCATTTCACCGCATGCGACGACGAGATGCGGGCCCACTGGGGTCCCCGAAGACGACGACGACGACGACGTCGGGCCCCCGAGGTGATTGACAGGGGTTATCTTGGAGCCGTCTTGGGGCGTTCTTGGGCGCATCTTAGCCCCCTATTGGGGCCATCATGGTGCCGTCGTTGGGCCTCGAGGGGGTGCCCTCAACGAGCCTCGGGGGAGCCCCGAGACCACCCGTGAGGGATGATATTGCGCGGCGGAGCGAGCGACGGGGGCTTCGGTCGAGGGGGCGGGGGCCGCGAGGTTGGGACGAACGCAACTCCGATGTGGTTCGGCCGCCCGCGTCGGCGAATGAACTGGCCGCACACTTGAACAGTCGGATCCGACTGTTCAAATGAGTTGCGCGGCCACTTGAACAGTAAGATCCGACTGTTCAAGTGGTGGCGCGGCTCACTTGAACAGTCGGATCCGACTGTTCAAGTGGTGACGCCGCTCATTGGAACAGTCAGGTCCGACTGTTCAAGTTGGCGGCGGCACCTCCCGATCTCTGGGCCCCCGCCTCCACCCCCTCGTCCACGTTACCGCCAGCGCCGCCCCATCTCGCGCCCCTCGCCGCCCTCCCCCGACCCTCGTAGTTGCTACAGTCAAGCGTGCGGTTGGCACACTCACCGTCCTCCACAGACCCCTTGGGCGCCCCCGAGCCCCGCTTCGGTGTGCGTATCGGGCTCAAATGTTATGGCGTTGCACGCCGTGTGGTTCACATCGCACTGGTTCGGCACTCCGCGACACAGCCATGGTTGCATCGCTTGTGAGGCAGCTTGTGGACTTGAAGGAGTTCCATGCCAAGCACCCAGACAAGTCGGCCAAGCTGCTGCAGCCCACGGCCACGTCGATCGTCGCCAAGATCAGCCAGCTGCCGTCCCTCACGCACGATGAGACGATCCAGCTGATGGACGCGGCCGCGGCAGTACTTGGCGAGTACGCCGACATGGTCGTCACCGCGTGTACCGATCGCATGCTGGCCACGGTCGCCCATTCGGTGGCGACGTCTACGAAATGCCAGAAGTTGACCAACGTGCAGTGCTTCCTCACAGAAGCCGATTGGGAGAAGTTGGACATCCATTCGGGTTTCCAGACGTGGCAGTCAACGATCAGCGACCGCTTGCAGAACCTCGGGGTATACTCCCCGCACGAGCAGACCGTCAAGAGCGCGATTGCGTTGCTGCTGTGGCTCAAGCACCAGAAGGGCGAGCCGTGGCCAAGAGTTGAAGACACCGCCGACATGTCGGCGGACTTCAAGGCGACGTTCCCGATCAAGCAGGAGCTGGCGAAGTTCAACCCTGGCATGCATACCTTCCCCGACAGCCCCAGCGACCTGCCGAAGCACATCTACGATCGTGCGTATGGCGACTCGCGGCCTGTCGAGCGGGTCATCCCCGAGTTGGCAGGGATCCGCATGCACAGGGTCAGGGTTCGGAAGGCCGCGGGCGCGAAGGGCGCGACCGAGCCTCATGGCGTCGCCCCGCAGATGCGGAGGCAGCCACTTGCGCTACAAGACCGCCCAGCAGCCAGCGACGACCAGCAGACCATCGTCATGCCAGACGGGTCGACGATCACGATCCTCAAGCCTGGCCCAGGCAATCCGCAATCGAGCAGGGGCTGGCCCCAGCCGCGCAGGCCATGCACGCTCGAGGACTACGACAACGAGCAGCGCCCGCGGGGGGCCGCGCGCCGCGACGGCGCGGGCTCGGCGGCCAGCCACGATGCGAGCCGTGCCTCGCATGTGGCAGGCGGGCCACCGCCCGAGCCGCCCGCAGATCGCCCCTCCGAGGGGCCCCCGCCCTCGGCAGAGCCAATCGGGCATCCGCCCGCGGCGGCGCCCGCCGTCGACCCCAGCATCGAGGCGGAGAGGAAGGCGTTCGATGCGCTCTTGATGTCGAAGGAAGAGAAAAAGGCCAAGACCGCAGCTGAGCGCAAGGCGAAGAAGGCTGAGGAGGCGGCCGCGAAGCAGGCTGCCAAGAACGCATCGGGCACGAACAAGAGCAAGAGCACGGGCAACGGCAGTGGCACAGGTAAGCGCAAGGGCACGGGCAGCCAGTCGGGCATGAAGCGCCCCGCTGCCGCGGCGGGCTCGAAGCTCGGCCCGAACGCGTGCCCGAAGAAGGCCAAGGTGTTCGCTGGCGGCAACTTCGCCGAGTTCACGAAGAAGAGCGACGTGCCGAACTATTCGAGTTTCGGTTCATTCACCAGTCGGGCTTACAAGGGTGCGTTGTACCACACTGGCGACGTTGAGATCGCCAAGCGTGCATTTGCCGCGGCAGCACAGTGCTGGACCGCTGTGAATGGCTAAGAATGCTGCGCATTCGTTGCTGTAGCTGCCCAGTCGTAGTAACTCCTCTAACCTCTCCGACGGCGACGGCGACGACGACGACGAGACCTCATCCTTCCGCCTCTTGGCACCCACCTCGTCCCACGCTGCTTCTCGCTCATCCCAGCCGATGGGGCGCTGGGGTTTGCATCGTTGTTGAGACAGAGGCTCGGGAAAAAAAAGGAAAACACTGCCGTTGGGCGTCGGTATTGGCCCCGATGCGGGTCTATGCGTGCTCGTTTTGAATCAGCAGCGCCGCGCCCTCTCTTCGCCTTCGCATGGGTTCCTCGCATTGAACCCGTTGGGTCCCCGTTTTGAAGCCGCATCGTCACGCGCCCGCGGCTTCCTCGTAGCACGCGTGCGGGTCCTCGTTTTGAATCCGCAGCGCCGCGCGGCCCCTGCTCCATCATGTTGGCTCTCTTGGGACCATCTCATGGCAATGTCGGAGACCCCAGTGGAGGCCATCCTGGAAACAGCGCGGGGCCACTTTGAGGCCGTCATGGGGCCCGATTGGGCCACCCCTAAGGCCCGCTATATGCCGCGTTGGGCCCTTCGGGTTGCCGTACAGATGGCCCAATCCTTCCTCGCTCATCCCTCCATCATCATCGCCCGCATGGGGTCATGCGGCATGCGTGGCCCACAGGGCTCATAAGGCTCTTTGGGGACCATTAGGCCCTACTGGGTCATAGGGCTCGCAGGGACCATCGGCCCCGCACCGCCCATGAGGCGCACTGGGCTCAAACAACATATACGGCCCATAGGGCCCATATGTCTCGCGGGGCGGTCGCTGTTCACGAGGCCCATTGTGACCGTGTGCCTCGTAGGGCCCACATGGCTCAGGCGGCAACTCGGGCATGCTATGGTCATTGGGGACATGGGGCTCATGCATAACGCGGGGGGCGGGGGGTCGCGGTGCTCAGGGGGCGCATTCGCGCTGGCATCTGGCCAACGCTCGCTAGCTACGCGGATGGGGGGCGGTCCGACCTAACAACATTCCACGGGTTTTGCGCGCGTCTGATCGATTTGCAGCTCTCGCTTCAGATTAGCTCACAATTGGCTGCATGCATCAAGTTGCACATTGCAACGAGTGCACCTTCCATCCTCCACCGCCTCCTCCCCATCCGTAGCCATTTTGGCTAATGCGAAGGTTCCGTGACTGGTCGTATTCGGATGCGAAAGCATCCAAGCTGCAGCGGCTCGAAAGGTTTCGCCGCGCTCTGCCCCATGTTTCAGGCACGGCCCTATGCGCCATCGTTGCCGAAGCGAGGGCAGGCAATCTCCCCGAGGGCCCCGTCTCGCGACGAGAGCTGCTGCGGTCTCAGAAGGAGGTTTTAAACAAGAGGAACTTGTACGGCACTGTAGGGAAGCGTCTCACGCTCAAAGGTTCGTCGGGCGAGGCGGTAGATATCACGTTCGTGTGCCTCCATTCGTTTTTGCAGCAGGCCTTTGCCGAGAGTGCCGCGTTTAGGGATTTCATCGCGTTGCGGCACGGGGCGCGCCCGTCGTCGCCCGATCGCCCGTGGCGGCTCATCTATTACGCAGATGAGTACAACCCAGGCTTGGAGCTCGTAGCACGACATGCCCGAAAGCAGTGGATGACTTACGTCACGTTTGCGGAGTTTGGGGCAGCTGCGATCGAGCGGGAGGAGTGCTGGATCACGATCTCGGCGGCGCTCACGCAGATAGTTGATCACCAAGTCGAGTCAGGATACAGCCAACTTGCTGGGCGACTCCTGCAACACATCTTTCGCGGTAGCACCGACCCGCAGGCGGCGGGCGTGGTCTTGGAGCACGGGGGCAACCACGTGCATGTGTTCTTCTGCCTCGGCGGGGTTCTGATGGACGGCTTGGCCCACAAGATCATGTGGGGCACGAAGGGCGACAACGCTACCAGGCTATGCATGAAGTGCGTTAACTTGTTCGCCAAGGATTCCGCGCCTGTTTCTGGGGTGATCGACGAGCGTGGCGGGGAGTACGCCCTTACTTGTAACATTACGGACGATAGCAAGCTTGTCTTCGCCACAGACGAGCAGGTGCACGGAACAGTTGACAGGCTCGCGCGCTTCAAGGCCACGGAAGACCCAGAGAGGTTCAAACTTCGGCAGCAGGCAGCTGGCTTCAACCATCTGCCCTCTGGGATTCTCAACATGCCCGAGCTCAGGGGCGTCGTCAGGCCAGTGACGCACGCAATGACCGAACCCAGCCGCACCTTACATATTGGAGGGGTCATGAATACTTTGATTTTTTTGTATTTGGATGGTCTGTACAAGAATGGTGCCGCAGGCTTGTTTCCAGCGGTTCACGAGTTTCTGAGGACATGGTCGTGGCCACTTGGCGTTGCCAAAGATGCCATTCTGGATATTTTCTCGCGCAAGCGCGTCGAGAGCTGGCGAAAGGCAGGGCATGTGAAGTGCCAGGCTTCGGAGCTGCTGATGCTCATCCCCGCCCTTGCCTACTGGGCAGCGGAGTTCGCGCCGGGTCGGCCAGGCACCGATGCGTTTCTTGCTGGCGTGGATGTGCACGAGGCAGCGTCGCTCAGGAGCACGAACAGCTGCTCGGGTGCGCATATACAGGCATGCGTCCGACGTTTCTTGGCCGCGTGCGTCGCAGCGGGCTGGGAGGAGAGCATGCGCCCGAAATTCCACTGGCTCGTCCATTTATCTCGGGAGCAGATCGTGTCAGCCCTCGTGTGCGAGTCCAAGCACAAAGTTCCGAAGGCGTATGCCAAGGAACAGTGCAACCTGACAGGCTTCGACGAGAGCGTGTTGTCGAACGTCACGGGGAGGCACATGTGGCAGCTCGCAGAGACCGACTGCTTCAACTTCGACGCGCGCCTCGAGGACCCCAGGGAGGCGCCACAGAAGTTGCGGGACCTGGTGCGGGCAGAGCTGGACATGGACATGCGCTCGCCCGTGGCGACATCGATCAAGGCGAGGCTCCGCGACAAGGGGTCGGTCCAGCGCGGCGACGTGGTGCTGGTTGGTCTGGGTGGCAATAAGGCCGCAGCTGCAGTGGTGGTGTCCTTGTGGGACGTGCGCGGCGTTGCAGGGGCTTTGCTGCGCATGTACTACGACGTGGTGTCGTGGAGAGAGCGCTCAGCCGCTGCGACGTGGAGAATCCACGCAGAGCGGCATTATGAGCTGCTCGGCCTCGATAGCGTCATGTGCACTGTGTGCTCCAGGCAGGCCGATGGCGCCTTGACCACCCTAGTGCCGAAGCTGTACAGGCACATGTTCGCGTGAATAAAAATACAGGGGCTTGCGCCCTCCGCAAACACAGCCATAGGCTCCCGCCTGCCGCCGCATATGCTTTTCCGTTTTCCTGCTTCTCTCTTCCCCTCATCATCATCCTCGCCCTTCTCTCGCATCTCATCCGCCTCCTCCTCCTCCTCCTCTCCTCCTCCCCCTCCTCGCCCCCCTCGCCCTCATCCCCCTCCACATTGTCATCATCCTCATCCTCCACCTCGCCCATCATGCTGCCTATCACCCGTCCCCCTCCCTCCCCCCTCATCCCCCCTCTCACATCCTCCTCCTCCTCCTCCTCCTCATCATCATCATCATCCCCCTCCTCGTCCTCATCCCCTCTCCTCGCCCTCCCCGCCAAGTCTCCCCCGCGGGGCCATCTTGGGGGGTTTTCGGGCGACGGGCCGTCTTGGTATTATCCACGGGCCGTTTTGGGGCATCTTGGGCAGTCCTGGGCCGTTTCGGAAGCAACTCGGGCAAACTCTTGGCCGCGCGCGAAGCCCTCAATGGCCCCCGAGAGGGCCCGCCCCGAACGGGCCCATGAAGGCCGCAATGAACAGTGCCAACCGAAAGAACCTCACGAGGGCCCCAATAGCGCCCACCACAACCCTGAGATGGGCACAAGAGGACCCCGAGGGACCACCAGCACCAACAGGTCGAGCAGCAGCATCACCAACCAACGGCACCACCAGCCTACATGAGCACCAGCAACAACATCAGTATCAATATCAGTATCAGCAGCAGCACAGCAGCACCACCAGCAGCGCCATCAGCAGCATCAGCAGCAACATGTCCAGGAGCAGCAGCACCAGTATCACGCAGCATCAACATAACCAGCAGCAGCACCATCAGCCCAGCACCAGCACCTCCAGAAGCATCACCATCGGCAACAGCAGCACCACCGCAAGCACCATCAGCAGCATCAGCAGCAACATGGCCAGGAGCAGCACCATCAGTGGCGCCCAGCATCAGCATAACCAGCAGCAGCCCCAGCAGCCCCAGCACCAGCACCTCCAACAGCACCAGCAGCACCAGAAACAGCAGCACCACCAGCAGCACCACCAGCGTCATACACAACATCAGCAGCGCCAGCAGCAACAACGCCAGCAACGGCATCAGCAGCACCACAAGCAGTTGCAGCATCATCACCGCCAGCCGCAGCGCCAGCATCACCACCACCGCGAGCACCAGCACCAACACCACCAGCACCACCAGCACCACCAGCACAATGCAAAAGAACCAGAGAAAGCAACGCACGCGTGTCAGGGCATTCGCCTTCTCACCGCATCCGCCTTCCCATGTAGCGAGCGCTTGGCAGGGATATATCTAACTATAAATATATATAGACAAATAAATATATATATACATATATATATATATATATAATTTTTCACAATGCGGCAACGCATCCCCCACAGGCTTAACAGCTCCCACAGATCTCGCAGGTCCTATCCCCAGGCCCCGCATATCTCGCAGATATTACAGGTGTCGCGCACCCCGCAGGCGCCACGCGCCCCGCATGCGTCGCAGGCATCGCGGGCCCCGCGGACCCCGCAGGCCCCACAGGCTCCGCAGGTGGCGACTTTACTTCGCATCGTAAGGTTCCCGACATGTTTCTTTCGATTTCTTTTTGTTTATCGTTCCATCGCCCTCTCCCTCCCCCTCCCCCTCCCCTCTCTCTCTCTCTCTGTTTTTCTTTTGTGGGGGAAGGGCTCGAACAAAAAACAAAAAAGGAAAACAAAAAAAAACGCCGCTGGCGAAATCCCGTGGAAACCTCCCACAGAAAAATCCGATTGCAACCCGTCGCAGAATGGAATCCTTTTGTAATCGCCCACAAAAGGAATCTTATTGAAATCCTCAACAAGAGGAATCCTTTTCGTAATCGCCCACGACAGGAATCCCATTGACACCCGCCACGCAGGAAATCCTTTAGGGGCGACCAGGAAAAGTCGGCGGGGCGGGCCAAAGAAAACAAACAAAAAAACGCAGTGTTTCATTTGTGATTGATATTTGTGTTGCCCGCCACCGCCCGAGGGGAAAAAAAGGTTGACAGTTTTGTTTTTTTCTCGCCCCCCCCCCCCGCCCGCGCTTTTCCTGGCCGCCACAAAATGATTTCCTTTGTCGCGCATTACATAGATTCCTTCTGTGGCGGATTACATTAGGATTCTTTTTGTTGATGATTTCAATAGGATTCCTTTTGTGGGCGGTTAAAAAAGGATTCCTTCTGCGGCGGATTTCAATAGGATTTCTATTGCGAAGGGTTTCAAAATGATTTCTTCTGCGGCGTGTTTTTTGTTGGTTTTATTATTAATGTCATTATGAGTTATTGATTTTTCAATTTCTTTTTTGTTTTCGGGCCATCGTACTTGTTTACTGGCCGCCACAAAAGGATATCCTTTGCGGCGCATTGCACTACAACCCATTTTGTGGAGAATTACAATCGGGTTTCTTTTGCGGAGGATTTCAATAGGATTCCTTTTGTGGGCGATTTCAAAAGGATTCCTTCTGTGGCAGGTCACAATATGATTTCTTTTGTGTGTGTGTGTGCGTGTGTGGGCGTGTGTGTGCGTGCGTGTGTGTGCGTGTGTGGTGGCGGTGGCGGTGGTGGTGGTGGTGGTGGTGGTGGTGGGGGGTGGGTGGGTGTGTGTGGGGTGGGAGGTGGGGGAGCGGGTGGGGTGGGATGTTGGTGGGGTGGGGGCGGGGGGGGGGGGTGGGGGGGGGGGTGGGGGGGGGGGGGGGGGGGGGGGAGGAGGGGGGGTGGGGGGGGGGGGGGGGGGGGGGGGGGTCAATGCGATGTCATTTGCGGCGTGTTGTTTGTTGTATTATCTGTATATATTTTTGTTTCTGTTCGGGCCCGCCTTTTTCCTGGCCGCCACAAAAGGATTTCTTTTGCTGCGCATAACAATACAATTCTTTTCGTGGAGAATTACAATCTGGTCATTTTGTGGAGGATTTCCATAGGATTCCTTCTGTTGGTGATTGCGCAAGGATTCATTCTGTTGCGGATTGCAACGAGATTTCTTGCGCGGAAAATTACAACATAAATTATGTTGTTAAGTGTTACAATATCATTCCTAATATGGAGGACTCTTGTAGAATTCGTCTTGGCGACGATTACAATTGCGACCGCGAGTGCACCCGCCCGATTAGGAGATGTACGCGCCTCTGGCGGATTCTTATCAGAGATGGGCCCACCTCGAACGGAACCCCATCAGAAAAATATCCACCTGTAATGGACACCTATTGTATATGGATCCACATCTAATGGGATGTCAACAGAGATGGAACCACTCCTCATGGAATCCTCTTACAGATGGACCCACCTCTAATGGAAGCCGACTAGACATGGATCCGATGATGGAATCCTATTACATATGGATCCAGCTCTACTGGAAACCGATTAGAGATGGATCCACCTCTAATGGAACCCTAATAGAGATGGAACCACTTCTAGTGCGATGATATTAGCGATGACGCCACCTCGAATAGGAACCTATTACAGCTGGATCTTTCTGCAATTGAATCCTATTTGACATGGATCCTGCTCTAACGGAATCCTCTTAGTATTCAGATTACATATTGATCCGCTTGATAGAATCATATTTCAGATGGATCCACATCAAATGGAATCGGATTACCGACGGGCCCACATTTGAAATGAAGACTGCCAGAGATGGGTCCACATGTAATGGCGCCCTTTTGCAGACGGACCCGCCTCTGATGACATCCTTCAGATCTGTGTCGGCCTCACATAGAATCCTATTGCAGGTGGATCCACAACTGAAAGATTCTAATGACAGATGGATCAGCATCTAATGGAATCTTGCTACATATGGATCCACATCTGACACGATCCTATTATGTATGATTCTACGCCTGATAGAATCTTATTACGGATGGATCCACCTCGAACAGAATCTGTGTAGCGACGTATACACCTCTAATTGAATCTTTTTTAAGGCAGGATCCGTATCTAATAGAGAATCCTATACGCGATGTTCACATGTCTAATGGAATAGTAGCGATGGTTCCACCTCTAAGAGCATCCCATTATATATGGATCTGTGTCTACTAGAATAATCCTACGACACCTGGATCAAACCCCAATAGACGCCTAATACAAATGGACCCAATCCTATTGAAATTCGACTACACATAAATGAGATAGAATCCAATCAGGGATGGATTCGTCTCGAACAGAATTCTATCATAATGGTCCACCTCTATTGTAATCCTATTACGGATGGATCTGCCTCTAATAGAATCATCTTAGAGATCGACCCACCACTAACAATCTTATTACATGTAAATCCACCTTTCATGGGATCGTATTACCAATGGTCCCACCCCTAATTGAGTCGTATCACATAAGGATCCACATATCGTGAAATATCATTAGAGATGGGTGCACATCTACTAGTATCAAATCAGAGATTTGCCCACTTCTATCAGGACCTATCAGCAATGATTACACCTGATAAAGTCGTACTGGAGACGGATGCACCTGTAACAGAATCTTACTACATATGGGTCCACCTCTCATATAATCCCATTACACATTGGTTCACATTCCATAAGATCTCATCACAGGTGGATTCGCTTCTGATAAAAGCATAATAGGAGTGGGTTCACGTCAAAGAGCTTCCTATCGGCGATGTATGCACCTCTGCTGAAATTCCACTAGACATGGACCCACCTCTAAGAGACCCCTACCCGATATGTATCCACCCCTGACAGAATGTTATGACAGATGGTGCACTTCTAATCGAACCCTCGTACATATTGACACCCTTGGTAGAAGCCTATTAGAGGCGGATCCACATCTGATAGAATCCGATGACATATGGATCCACTTCTAAAACAAACCGATTGCAGATGTGGCCATCTCAAAAAATCTACAGATGGATCCACTTTTATTGGAATCAGGTTGCATGATGGACCCAGGTGCACCTTTAATGGAATCCGATTAGAGATGGGTCCACTTCTGGCAGAAACGCACT